GAAGATGGATAGTCATTGGGCATGATCTGCTCGGAGGCCAGGTTTCGCAAATTGATTGTGGTTTTCACATACTGCCCCGTTACCTTACCGGTCAAAGTTTGGCTAGCCGAGGCCCACGGTCGTGAACCCTGTAAGAAAATTCACCTGCTTTGGTCTCGGCAACCTAGCCGTAGTACGCCACCGAGCAAATCATGGATTGTTTTCTTTTTCATAAAGATTATTGTGCCATGATTTGTTTGAAACATAGTCTGAACTCAGGTGTGTGCGAAAATTAATAAGGCTACTTGGGTAGCTATATCTCACCCGATGGACGCATCGCGGATCACGTGTCGGCTCGCATACGGAAGCCTTGATTGTCATTTGCCAACATGAGATATCTGTGGCAAGGCTTAGTTTAGTCATCTTTTTTCTCTTACATTCACAGAGTACCTTTGCAAACACCGATGGTTAGAGACACTGAGCGATATGGTTGGGTGTCGCAACTAGTGGCGCTCAAGCATCTACTCATTATTCTTGCAACCTACATCTATATGAATTCTCTATCTTCCGCTTGAAGTTGCTCGCAACATTCCGATCTCCCATCTGCTCTTTCATCCAAATCGGCGGCCAAAAGACAGCAACCAAAACCGACGCACAAAAGTACATGGTGAATCGTTGTAAAAACTGAAAACCTAACTTTGCAAACACCGCATGCTAAGCGAGCCTACCTAGTAGTAAGGGTTATATGCACCCGCCATCTCAACAGGAATTCGTTCCAGTGTGTCATAGGTGTTCGAACACCGATTGTCTGTTTCCTTCCTGTTTCTGTGAAGGCTATGTGGGTGTGCGTATCGATCATTGACAACTGAATGTTGCGGCTAATGCCAAGGAGCCCGACCACTAAGCAGGAGAACGACTGAGGTTCTCAACCAGAGCCTTTAGTTCTAACAAGAACCTAACTGCAAGGCAGCGATCAGCCCGTATTTGAGGCTCATTAACCTGGATCAATTACACCTCCAAAACTTTACCGATTGAGACGCCAACTCAAGTCGAACCCTCGACCTGGAGGCCCAGGAGACTGGAATTTGCCTGACCTCTACCCGTCAACCCCCCGGGCATGATTAGATCTTTGGCTCATCAAAAGCCATTCAGTGTAGCTCGTTGGGTCACAAAGGTGCACAAGCCATCACACCATGTCAAGGTGCAGTCTCATCGTGATAGCCATCGCTGAATAGAAGGTCCTCATGATTATGGGGCTTTCTCCATCTATTGTTCATCAGACTAAGGTATGTAATGAAAAAAATCAACTGAATGAAGTTATGATGGTGGAAAATGCGTCCGATATTGACCATCTTCTAAACAACTAACTACCAAAGTTGTACCACCACATTTTGCGCACTCAAATGTCTTAGATTTACTGGTACAGCTGCATATTGTAATTCTGTGATATTATATCTCGAACGTCTGTTTGTTGACGTGAGGAACGTTGACATACAATTGCCGATTGTACACATTCAAATATACAAACCTACTGACGACTTGAACCGGGGCTGAAAACACTAAAAATTAATCAACTAATTGTGGTAGCGGTGGTAGCACAACTAACGGCAACAAACCGGTTGGTTTGAATCGACAGAGATCACGTCTATCAAGTGACGATCAGTTCAATTCTGTTTGTACAACCATTAACCATGCACTATCGTGCGCCGGTTTTGGTTCCCACTTGGATGAACATTAGGAGAAAGACGGGAAAGGTTGAAAGTAGGATCATAGAGAAAATTTAGAATTTCGGTAGAGAAATTGAGAAGATGCACGAACGCCACTGTTTACGATTCCTAACAATAATCTGCTTCTACATAATAGCTAAGCTTTTATTACACACATTTGTAAGAACAGCAGACGGGGTAAACCCCATAGTCAAGAAGATCTCCTGTTCAACGATGGAAACCCAAGACTTGAAGTGGCAAACCACATAAGGCCCCTCCAGGTTAGGCGTAGTATTGAATAGAACGACAGTAAGGCTGCCTACCACCAAAGGTGGGTGGCAGTGGTGGGGCTGGAACCTCGGACCATAGGATCCAAAGCACGCCAGGGACAACGACTAAAACGCTGTGCCATCACCACCCAAAATAACACTGGAGTAGCTGTTGTAAGATCTAACATCGGAAGCCGTCCATCACAATTAAGTCCTGGGAACTTATCAAGGACAATCGACAGCATACTGTAGGCTAGTAGGACAAGACAACATCGATGAAAGAGAGTAGTCGTGAAGAACTTACTGTCCCGAAACTTTGATTCCAAATCAGGGTCGCATTTCTTTCGGTAAACTTCGTGGTCCCAAAGTACGACGTAGTATGCTAAACATATCATCGGTTTTCTGCTGAACGATCTCGTCTGCTTTCGCAATGGCTTTCTGCGTATTCAGAACACTTCGTTCACCAGTTCCAACAGGACCGTTACGTCGTTCCCATAGCATGCGATGCTTCTGTTTCATGAATGCATGTCGTACATCCGTATTCCAAGACAGTTCCCCATCTGAAACGGAAAACGAATAAGGTAATAAGGCTGGCATACGTGCGAATGTAAGCTCAAATGCTTGAAAGGGTAAAACACGGAAAACGAAAAGCAGAAAACGACAGCTGCGCTCCGAATAAGAACCAATAACTGGTAACTGCTCCGCAAAGACTTTGTCAGTGCTTGGACCGTATGCGTCTGCTTCGTGCATTCCGACAGCGGAATATGTGTTCAATATCTTAAGTTTTGCGCGGCATAACAAGGGATTCTAATTTCCGGGTTCAATAAATTCACACCTTACTCTAGTATCACTCCCAGTTGATAAACAAAAATGTCATTCAGAAATGCCTTGTGAGATATGCATTCTTCGGCGACCGCAAACAAATTTGATGAATAGTGAAGCGAACATATCTCGCCCCATCAGTTTTTTTCATTTGGCGATAAAACATTAACTGATTGATAATCGCTTTACAATCGACCAGTAAATTAGAACATTGATTAACGCTTGAGGAGAACGAGAGTTGCAAGGCTTGAGGAAGTTGACATTTTGAAGCTAGGTGGTATAGCCGGTCTTCCGATAGAGTTAAAATAAATCCATAAAATTGTGCAGTAATGATTTCTATAGGAATGTTTTGACATTTTTTACAAATTAAGTTGTCTCAGTTTCAGGTTGTCCGTGTATCAAATCGATGTACGCAGAGTGTTGATCTCACCAGTTACCAGGCCTGAGTACTTTCCAAGTTACAAAGCGATATCTACACGATCGTCGTTCAGTACACGGACCTATCAGTTTCCTTTGAAGCCCGAGGTGGGAGGGGAGAGCGACAGTGTTGTGACATACCTTGGCTTCACAAGTTCTAAATCCCATTTCGATTATTGTCTTGTGCGTGCGCGTCTATGCATCACACCGTTTGCCCCCCCCCCCCTCCCTGAAAACTCATACATCTTGCAGACACTAGTGGAGCATGCTCGAACGACACATATATCATGGTTATCCACATTTACATCCAGTTAGTGCGCTGCTTGTAGATCATATCCCATCTCTCCCCCTGCCCCTGGAGAAGCATTGAGACAATTTCCATCCACCAAGTGTAAGCCCGTAAACAAGACTGTTATGGTAAAGTCAGGGAATAGAAATACGATGATCTTATCAAACCTACTGCTTCTGAAAGAGTACATAAAGTGACAGCGATCTATCTCGCATATAATATGAAAGTTGTAATATTATGACGAATTGCGGTTTAGACCACAGGTACTTTTGTCAACAATGCACTTACCTGATCATGGATTCAAAATTCGACAATCTATTTCATTGAAATTACTTCATCTTATTAACCTAATTATTCACCACATGTATTCGAAAAATCAGGCTGAAGAAGTATTTCTATCTTAACTTAGGATAAATTTATGATATTCACATTCGACTATTTCCAACTGAGTTTCATTCATCTTCTATTAAGGAATAAAATGATATTAAATATACAGACTTGAACTAAATCCGGATAACTCCTCATGANNNATGAAACTGTTTCGTCGTTATACCGGACATATGAAATGGGATAATAAACTTCGATTCTCATGCTCAGGACCACAGTCTTGAACAAAAGACGCCGTAAAACAAACTTGCATTTAATGAAATAGTTTACAGCGGCTTCTTCGTGCTCATTAATAATATTCTTGCAAAACCGCTCCACATCTTCTGCTTCGTAGCGATGCCACATAGCACATTCATCACGTCGACGTTTTAGTATACGTAGAATGTTTGTATCCACAAGTCTGCAACAAAACAACAAAATAATAACATGATTAGACAAAAAATGTAAAACCACAACAAATTTACGCTAGGCTGCTAAGTAAATCGATCACAACATCGAACATGAGAATTTTGTTAATTAAACATCCTGCGTAAAGCGAGCCGGCCTGAGATCATGATTTCAGCGGGAGATATGAACGGTCGAGTAGGCCGGCTGACGTCGAATGAGGCGCAGCTGGGAGGTCCTTTCGGACTAGATTTCTGTAGCTCAGGAAAACGGTTGTTGGCTCCACGTTCCGATCATCGCCTATTCCTCCCCAGTACGAACTTCAGACGATCCAACTGCCGGTACGCTACTTGGCGTCCGCAGTGTGATGATTTAGTCGATACAACCGCAGTCTGATAAAAAGGCGGGGAGTTTGAAATTGACCGCGTCATTTTTTGTTATTGTTGAAGCTTTGTTTCTATTTCATCACACTACCTCTGGATGTACTTTCGTATCAATTACGGTGACCTCAATGACTACCTACAACGCGCTCAGTTTAATTTCCGTACGAGTATTTGTAGAATATATCAAGGAATCATCCTTAAGTGCTTTTACTCGTTTTGTGAGAAATAAGGTTAAAACGATCACTAGAAATTCAATTGGTAAACGGAGAAAAAATCACGCTGGCTGGGGAGTTGTACTTGGGCACAGAAACTTGGAGAGCATTGGTTTTCCTATCCTTCTGTCGTAGAATGTTTGCTCAATTCTTTTTAGGCTATCGAACATCGGTCTTCTGATTCATCAGGGAGAGTACTCCAAAATTTGTGCTACTTTTCCAAGAATCTGGCTTACAATAATCTATCGAGGACAAATTGGTTCAGATGGAAAGCTTTCAATTATTTCGTGCAGATAGATCACCAGGAAGGAAAACTAAAGCTGGCAACGTCATTACATGTGTGCGCCGGTCGTGGTGTAACTCCACCAAATGCATATTCACTCACTGTACACAAAAAATTTCTCGTATCACTGTGGAATGTAAACTACGTTTTATCCGGCATCAGTCTTCCATCATCTTTACAAATCTATACATCAATCCCGACTGTACTCCTGGTGAGTTGTCTACCTTCCTGGATATTTTCTATCCAATCGTGTTGGAGAAACTTGTCACCTCTGTATTCATCGTTGCTGGCGATTTCAACAGATCGCATGAGTTTTTACACACTTATGTCCCTTCAGAACATTGTTAATTTTTCCACTAGAAATGATGCCTCCTTGGACCACTTTTTCGTTAAAGAATTATCTTTCTCTCGTGCCTTTAAATGTGCACCAGTAAGCAATTCCGATCACTGTCTAACTAAAGTTTTATCTACAGTATATGGTAAATGCAAACAACAAATCCTCACGAAGAACAATGCACATAAGATAAGTATACGACAAAATCATTCAGCCAACTTCATGGAATTAGAATCCATGGTTGCCGGTACGGACTTACAACTACTCTCTGATCCCGATATTTCAGTCCTCTGTGAAAACCTTACAAACAATCTCAACCAGTTATGATGTGTGTTGCCCTCAAGAATGGATTCACCTACAGCCCAACCGCTTCATCTCTGATAGACTAAAACGGTTACGTAGGCCGAAAAAAAGAGCGTATCGCTCAAGAGCAGGGTCAAAACTGTCAACTTTTATATCGGAAGCGAGATAGCCCATCTCAATCAACTGTATGTTGACACCGTGTTAGGAGACAAATCTTGCCGTCAGCTATGGAACGCACTGAAGTTGCTCTGCGGTCGTTCAACTTTACCTGCTACAATCTCAATGAGCTCAACCAACCTTTTGCTTTAGTTAAAAACGTTGTGCAAGCTTAACCGAGTCCAAATACACTGACACTTGATTTCCACCTCCCCGTGACTGACACAACAGACTAAGTTTTAAAGGAGTTAAATGCTATCAACAAAAATAAATCCTCTGATCCTAATCAGTTATCTCCGGTGCTCCTTAAAACATGTGCAAACCACCTCGCACAAACCGGTTCACTCATTTCGATACCCGTCTGTCAGAAGGAAGACTAGTTAACACACGGCGTGATGTTCGCATTACTCCAGTAACTAAGAAAGAAAGGGGTAAGTTTCGGCCTATTGCTTCATTTTCAGCATCACTTAAAACTTTTGAGCGAATCATCTTTAAGGATCTATCTTCTAATCTTGATTTCTGTGATTCCAATCATTTTGCTTATTGTAGGCGTCGCTCCACCTTTGATGCCGTTGCTCGTCTTTTACATTCCGTTTTATCCACTATAGACCAAAAACAGAAAATCATTCATGTTTCTTGGAGTACAAAAACAAGTTTAGCCCTGTTGACAGAAACGTTTTATTGTCACTGTTACAGCAACATAATCTCCCGCCAAATCTTTTGAATTGGACGCACAACTATTCTATCGACCGACGCCAACTCACTTGTGTCAATGGTATTAGATCTTCCAACTGTTACTGCAAATTAAGGTGTAATTCAGAGTGCGATTTTATCCCCTTAATTGTTCTCCTTTTACATCAGAGTGGATGATATTCTCGTCTTTGGCGAGGAAATGTTCAACCTCCAAGTAATCGTTGACCGCATCAGTCGACAAGCCTCCTAGATCGACCTAGAGGTGAACAAATCAAAAACCAAAACCTCTGCCACAGTCCCGATTCGTTCCGAAAATGATTTACTACTAAACGGCGAGCCGATCGAATCGGTCGAAAGCTTCAAATACTTGGGTTCGACCATTCTCCCCAACGGCCAAGCTAAAGACGAGGTGCAAATGCGCATCGATACTGCAAGAATGGCGTTTTTACAGTTGAAGAATCCCCTTTGGCGCAGAAATGAAATCAGCCTCAAGACAAAAATCCTAGTTTTCTCCGTAGCAGTCCGTCCTGTCATGCTATACGGCTGCGAAACCTGGCCACTTAGAGCCGAAGACTGTCGCAGATTAGAAGTATTCGATCACTGGTGCTTAAGAATCATTCTGGGAGTCCGATGGAGGGATCAACTCTCAAATGAAGTGGTCAGGAATCGGTGTTTTAAGCTTGTACCGCTGAGGACGCGAATTCAACGGCAGTGTCTACAATGGTTAGACTACATTCTTCGTAAGTCTGACAACGATCTGACCAAAGCTGTCTTGGCACCGCCTGCCTGTCCCGACTGGCGCTGTCGACACGGTGGACAACTACAAACCTCGCTTGGCACGGTACGAAAGGATACTGAAAACCTTGGTCTCCGCTCCGTCTACGGCGTTCGCCAATGGAAATCAAGCTGAATTTCAATCTGCGCCGAACATGCCGCAGATCGCTGAGCGTGGGCAGCGGCAATTCGGGATATCCATGAAGCCGGCTTATCCTCTCCCAGGAGCCAGCCGCCGTAAAGAAGCAGATTGTCAAATGAACGTGCCAGGCCAGCATTGAACGCGTCATTTGGGCGACCGGTGTATTTCACCGACGAGTGCATTGCGTGCAACGAGCCTTGGAAGGCTCACAAAAAATTCATTCGTGGTGAAAATTTCCCAAAAGAACTTATTCCACCAAATGAGTTTCTCATCCGTCGAGATGACTCATCTGGGCAGGGATTAAACATGGTCAGCCTTGTTGGTGGACATCAGTCAAAGGTAATATGAATAGTGGGAAATTTGTATCAGTAATTACGAAAATGTTTCCAGAATTTCAAGACAAAAATCGTCGGGTAAAGTGTTCGTTTTTCAGGATAACGCTCCGTGTCATGTTTCACGAGAGTTTAGTTAAAATTGATTTAGTTAAAGATTTTGGTTTACTTATTGTTTGCTCTTAGAATTCAGAAACGATGCATCACTCTAAGGTCCAATTCATGCAACTGCCCGCCTTATAGCCTGGATCTTAATGTGGTTGAAAATCTGTTTGCTGTTTTGAAGGGAGAGGTCAATGTGCTACCTATACATTGGACATTGGAGGCCAAAGTGTGATACCTAATGGAGCACAAAATAGAGAATGACTTCATAACAAAGTTGGTGGATTCAACGTCGAGGAGACTCGAAAAAGTCCTAAGGAACAAAGGCAGATCAATCGACTACTAGTGTACACAAACTTCTTCATTTTTACCAATGTTGATTGGCTGTAAATAAAAATTGTTTTATTCTCTTTAGTTAGCTCTTAACTGAAAGTGGTCCAGGTTAATCACTACTGACGATATGGAGTATCCACAACATTCTGAACCATTCCATTCGTTGAGTATAAACGAATCACGGAAATCACGTCTATAACGACTCCCAAGGTTTACTTATTATTATTTGGGAAAAAATTTACTTCAGCATAAATGCTGTTGCTTATACGAACCGACAGGTGTTTCACAGAGACCCGTTGCTTCATTTTCGATTAGACCTATATATATGTATATATATATATATATATATATATATATATTGCACAGGCTTCAGAACAAAGCATGGTGCCAGTGCAAAACAACGATAATGAAGTTTTGGAGGGGTACAAAAAGATTCAATGAAAATGGGGGAAACAGAGAACACGGGGAACGAATGAATAATTTTCTTTATAGTTTCACCGTACACCTTTGGAAGATTTTTCGTGTCATGAGGAACGGGGTTTCGCCAAACAAACCGCACAGTAATCGCGCAACTGACATCTATTCTGAGCCATATCTCTCAATCTCACTAGCCATCGGAAATCCTCGTCCCTTGTGCCCCAGCCTGAAAGGCGAGCTGCACCAACCGAAGCCAATGCTGGGGCTAACTTCTTCATACCTCTACGCCATGTCATGGTCTATTGTCTATGGATTTTATATTAATTAGACGCTCTCTGGAAAGCATCTCTAGATTTGGACTCGTATCTTATGAGGGGCTGGTTGATCCCACTGTCAACCAACACCTTGAGGAGTGTGACCGTCTGTGTGACTCTATCTTGTCTGACGCATCACATCCTTTACACTCAGCCCTATCTCGCTCCATTTCAACTTTATTTAATCTACGAGGTCATTGCCCTCCCCCAGCCCCATCTGAAAAACAGTGGGAGGAATTACATCACACCTTGGTGCCTTTCTTCCGGGTCGGGAAGCAAAATCGTAATTCTGCTTCAGTAGGAGGTTCGCACATGACAATATCCACGGAGCCTCAGCTACAACAGACGAGATAGTCTGGTTAGCGCCTGGACAGCTGAACTGTTCGTTGAAGTACTCCGCCCACCAGTCAAGCAGTTGTTCCCTATAGGGCGTACCTTGTCCCCCCTTATCGCACTGTTTCACTAACTTGGATTCACCGACTTCCCGAGTTGCATTTCAGTCATTGACTAAACCCTGAGACACCTAATACTTCCTATAACTTCGTTTAACATCAAGCATGGTGACAAATGGAACACCACTTGAGCAGTTCCTTTCCAATAACAGACGTTCAACTTCCGATACAACTCTTCCTACTTGAATCATGACTCTTGGTGCAGTCTTACGTTAAGGCTTCCGAATAGGATCCTGTTCGATGGGGAGCAGAAATTATACAATGCAACCTACTTTAAACACACGTTCGATTCCGAAACAGCAGAGATTATACTGTCTAGTTAGCGCTAAAGGATGTGGAGATCACGAACGCTTAGGATGAAAATTTGCCAGTTCCAAACTTCGAAGTAAAGACCCGTGAGGAACTTTTTCTGAAAATATGCGATGCTGACGTTAGTGACACATTCGGCAAAACATTCGCACATCCTACTACTGTCAAATACGGTCGCTACAATAATTCAGATACAATCATTATAGTTCAACCGTGTGCGAGCAAGTTGTTTGCGAAACAGAGGAAAATTTCAAATATCTTTACGTTTGCAAGCATACATCACATTCATCACATGCTTATTCGTTGTAAACCAAGTATTCAAATGCTACTCAGAGAGGATAACATAATACCCCACACGTCGCTTTCCTTAACC